GGTTCAAGTCCCATCTGAGAGTGCCAGGGACAAAGTGATTTTTTAAGTATATTTCATTAAGAGCATTATGATATTTTTTATCAAATTAAAAAAATGTAGGTTAGGTACAATTGAACGTTAAGATCATTACGCATTCAATAGCCTTTGTATGAAGTTCAAGTAAATATCTTTTTCTCTGTTTTTATTTTAACCTGAACCGATTCCGGGATCTTTGGTTGTTTGGTCTGTAGAAATCAAATACCTATTTATGCATTTGCAATAGAAAGTTAGCTAATATGAATATATTTGCATGTGAAATCCATAAATGAATGGAAGGCGGTTTTCAGTAAATTTAATGCAAAATAATGTTGTTATGGAAAAATTCTTGACTCACTTCAATTTAAATTATTTGTTTACGTTTTCAATTACAAGTGATAACAATGCGGCTCGCTCTGTTATCGTTCCACGCTGGCTACTGATCTGCACGTGAGTACAGGAACATGTTGATATAACAGTTAATAATTTAGTAGAGCAGTACAGTTCTTGTAGTTAACATAATATAGTGATAAAACAGATTTTGTGTAAGCAACTTATGGTATTTTCTCGATGCGATTATGTAACCGAACAGTTCTTCTCTTAGTAGTATTAAACTAAATCGGCACGTGCGATTACGAATGCATAATAATCACGAAACTGAACGTAAACGGAAGTGATGCAACGGAACGCGTTTCGGCGCCCATCTGTGTAAACAGCGCGCGCTTTTCTGAATGGCATGGTGGCGTTTCCCGCGCTCAGTCGCGGGCGTCGACCCCGCCGCGCGGTCAGCGCCCGCCCGGGGATAGTCGAGTGAAAGTAATTCGCGATCGGCGACCGCGTGCAAGCCATGCCGCCCTGGTACCTCGCTCGAGAGCCGCATACGTTTTATCGTTAATTTACGCAGTTATTTTTAACCATCGATCAGGCGATGAGTTTACTATCGGACGAGACGTTTTTTTTTGTAATGAATCACTATCGTGTTACATGCTACTAAAAAGGGGAGACCGATAGTGTTTTCGGTCTGCGATTGGAAATGTTTAAGTCTTTTGCAAAGGCTGGCTACGAATGGTTGACCATAATTTTATTATCTCAAGCTTTTCCATGTCTTCGTTCTCGCTGCATCTGTAGTTGTAAATAACCCCCAGCAATTCTTATTGAACCCACGTGGTTAACCATGGACCGGACCATCCTCACTTGATTTTATTAATTACACCAATCTTAGAAATGACCTTTGGCCTCGGCAGTGGATATACCATTGGACTTCATTTATTAATGACTGTTAATTATGACCTTGTCCGACAGGGGTGAATTTGAACGAATTCAGGTGTGATTTCAGGTTCATTGCTACAAACGTTCTATTTATTTGTGATAATATTCCTTACCGACGAGTGATGTATAAGTATTCATATCGACCTTCCGCATTACTGACGTACTCTTTTAATGTATAGTTAATATTGCCACGCTTGATGCGAAATCGTTAATAAGGTTTATTATATTAGATTGCAACTGTTGAATGGTCATAAATATTTTATTCGAATAGTTTATAGCATGACAATGTGCGATCAACGCAATCTCTAATTAAGTAAATGCCTGTTACTTATTTTGAAAAGTTTTAGAACATAACAAGTAAAGGCAAACGTGTGTAGTTTCTAAAGTAATATCATTTAACTGGGCAAATTGTAATAAATCTCAGTACGCACAATCATAAAATACGTAAGATCTCGTCGGAATAATTACGTGACATAATGACAGCCAAGTTTCGCTTGGCGCGCTCGAAAATGAACGGCTTCTTGTGCTCGGGACTCAGATAAATCTAGTGTTTCAATTCAATTGAATTGAAATTTGATAGAATGTATTTTTCTGCAGAGTCTTTAAGGCTAATACTTTGTTAAAATGACATAAAGTTTATGTAAAGTATCTTGCCTCCATTCTTCTTATAAGCCAAAACACGTGTCCTGAATGGTTTCTTAAAAAGCTTATTGAAATAAACCATATTTTATTTGAATTATGATTCCTGATTAAAGTAATTTTTGGTCAATAGTTAATTTAAACTACATCTTTGATTGAAATGGAAATTGATCAAATGTTGTCTGTTGGTAACTTATTTGATCTTGTTTTTTTAATCATAAATTAATGTTATCTAACATTCCCATTTGTAATGATAAAATTCTAAAATTGTAATGAAAAAATCTACACAATAATTATAGGTTATTCTTTTACTTAACCGATACCGTCTTTTGAAGTTACTGCACATTTGCACCGGTTTGAATGGTAGAGAATGTCTTTTAGGCATTACGTCTGCCTTTTGCTTTTTTATAAGTAAACAAGATTAAATAAATAAATAAAATAATTATAAAACGTTTTCATATATTAAGTTGTTGAAAAAGTCTTTTCGCATGTAGGATGCATAAACTTGTAGGTAATAAAGTCTTTGGTAGTACATAATAATAATAAAATAGATTGGGGAAAAAGTTTCTTCGTATTTTATATGATAATTCAAAACATTTTCAATAAAGTTTATTTACATTTAACCAAAGTATGAAGGTTCCATTTTGTTCGAAATCTTTTTGTCATCTTGTAGGTAGGAACACGATCCTATTGCTATAGAAAATTTTGGGCTTCTTATTTGGTATTGGCTTGGGATCAAAAAACCGCGACAAGTGGTTGTGGCAGTCCTCGCGTGGTATTAACCTGACACAGCCTAAAGAATTCTGAAGAAACTGTAACAGGTGGAAACCTGAAGGTGCAAGGTCGGGACTATACGGCGGATGCATTAACACCTCCCAGACAAACTCTTAATTTGTGCTGTAGTGGCAAAAGATGTGTGAGGTCTAGCGTTATCATGATTTAAAACCACAACCCTTCTATTGATTAATTCTGGCCACTTTCCTTACTCTTCTTGCTTCAATCTCATACAGCTCGGCAACAGCTCATAATAAATAATGCCTTTCCAATCCCACCATACACACAGCATCACCTTGTTGCGATTTAACCCGGGTTTCGCCACAGTCTGTGAAGCCTGACCGATCTTTGACCACGACCTTTTTCGCATGTTATTGTCGTGCATGTTTCACTTTTCATCACCAGTTATCAGATGGTTTGGTTTCATTCATCACGCCATAATAAAGAATCATTAATGAGTACACGGTTCATTAGGTTTCTTTTAGTGAGCTCGGGAGATACATCTTTTTATCTTTTTTGTAAAATGTATCGAAGTTCTTCATCAGATTCACTTATTTTGACAGTAAAAAAAAAAAACAAATGAAAATCACATATTTTCCTAATTTAAATTAGGATGTAATCTTCTTTAAAATTGAAACTTTTTAATGACACCGAAACCAGCCAGATACAAATGGTATAGCCAGAAAGATTTTATTACATACAAGTTTATGAATACTAGGTTTGATCCCTGTCTCTACTTGTCAAGATGCACTAACACGATTTTCATACGAGTTACATCAATGTATATCACAGTTTTAGGTTGTGTATAAATTTGCTGAAGTGTTATAAGTAATGTTATAGATGTTATATAATTCACGTTTTATGATTGATCGAGATTATAAATTCAACATACCTATATATGTGTGTATCTATTGTGTATTCACGGCAGTCGTTAAACCGATGAGCAAATTTTGCTGAATCATTGTCATACCCGACATTTTATTTAATAATAATACAATTATAATACATATATTTGTTGTTTGTTGAAATCGTATTAGCCCAGTTACACAAAAATACTGGGACGTACATTTAGAGTTTTTTTATATTTTGTCATTTGATCAGATTTTGGAGATACTAAGTTATACTCTATGTATTATATTTCATATTTATGTTACTAAAATATCACTATTCATAGTCGATATTTGAACAAACTTCTAGTACTCAAAAGTTTAAGAACACTAACGGCCGGTTTCTGAATTGAGAAAGTACACAATCTCAACTGATTATTCTTAATAAATTAAGTTTTTTTACGTTACATATGGCAAAAAGTATTAGATTTACCAAATTGCTATCAACTGATAATTAAAAATTTATAAATCAGCAATGAAACATGTTATAATGACATTTAAAGTGGCTTAAGCACGGTCTGAGACGTGCTCAACTTCAAATTCTCAATTCAGAAACCGGGCGTAAATGCTTCGTTATGTTAAGTTTCAGGTGATTTCAGTTAGTTTTTCATATAGCGGCGGGTTGAACGGCCCCCGACAACAGCGTCACCATTATCATCAGTGACACAGTTACTGCACCTGTTAAAATATTGCCATAATTATACTTGCGTCACTAACGCTCCTTTAATATACGTATCTTGATAAGATACTACGCCGAAAACAGATATAAGCGTATGAATTTCTAACAAAAGAATATCATACGTAATCGAATCTTCAATAGATTCTTAGCGATACATTGTGGCAGTATTTGTCTATCCATATATATTATAAAGATAAATTATTAGATTATTACATTTTGATGTATTTAGTTTGTATAGTTAAAATCAAAAACTATAGGAGTGATTTAAAAAAGTCGTTACGTTATTAATGAGTATCATACGCTATTTTATGTAACAAAAGTCTTAAAGTATATTTATTTTATATTACTATGGTTTTGAGACTGAAATTTACCTGTGAACTTAGTACTTGCAATGCTTTATTTTGTAAATGTTCTGCAATAGTCGGCATACTTCAATTGACATCAACCTTTTATGAATAACAAAGAAATATTAGACACCATCATATACATTTTGCTCAAACTTCAAATGAAGTTAGCTTTAGTACTTGTATTATGGAAATCGGAAACAAACACATACCACAACAATAATCAGAGCTTCTCGGATGTGGCTGTTCATCAGCATTCCTCAACGCTATGTCCGTTGGTGAAAACCTAGTGGATTGAATTATATCAGTTGACTTCATTTGTCTGAAGTTTTTGCTCAAATAAATATTCAAGTTATTGAACAGAATTTTGAATTAAACTTAATTTGTTTTTAGTTCCAGAACCAGTAAGAAGAGAGATAAAAACTAAGAATGTGCTGACTCGAATCGGCGCCATGGAAGGGCCATTAGCGGTACTCAAAGACTGTGTGGACCACAGATTGAGGATCAAGGTATTGATTTAGTTTTACTTTACACTTTAAACGCGGGCGAAGCCGCTGGTAGAACAGCTAGTTTATTAGAAGACACTCGGTGTAACTTTAATTCTTTCGACATCTTAGTTCTTGACTGGTCACAGACAAGAGTATTATTGAATCAGATGTGATTAATGTTTGTCATAACCCACAGACGTTAAGTATTTTTTCTTACCCTGTTGTTACGTGGAGTGGAGCAAAAACAAGTTCGATTACTAATAGTGTGCCATGATGGACGGCTGGAGAAAAGGGTGTCAATATTGATAGGCTTTGCAATAATAGTCTTGTATCGATTAACTTTTTCAAATTAGTTCAATAAAAACATGTTACACGTTTAGGTCAACAATTTACATTTAATACTTCAGTATGCATTGTCGATAATGACGTATATGCCATGTTGCAATCAACTGACATTTTGATCAATGTCTATTTGATATCCGCCATTAAACGCTGTTTAGATAGTGCAGTATCATGTTAACGCAGTGAAGGTGACCTACACGAAAACCTTTCCCGTTTTGGAATGACATTTCTGAATGATATCCAAGCCGCGGCATGCTGTTATTGGTAATTTCATTGATAACTGCTTATAAACATTTATGGAATGGAAAATTATGTTTTAACTATTATATTACAGTTTATCGCTGTATAATCTTTAGTTTTTGTGAGCAAAGGCTAAATATTCTTACAATTAAAGGCTTTATTGTTTTAAGTATAAGTAATAGTTTGTTTCCATTAACAATATTTGACTAAATCTTATGCATCGGTACAGTAAGGCTCAACTAATATAGCGCCTGGTGAATTTTCATTTGCACTCTTTAAATTTCTACTCTTTAAATGCATATTCGATATGTCGAGGACTGTTTGTCGGTTGTCCTACTCAGATTTACGTATAGCATGATGAAGATCGCGATTTATAGAAAATTGGTTTTAATAGTACAGCCCTTGCCTCACTAACATCATCGAAAATCGAACGTATTAATAGCAATGAGTATTGTTTAACTAACCATGACGTCAAAAATCTAACACAGATATCAGTGAGATGTACAATTTTTAATTGACATGTAAGAACTTTTTAACTAAAGCTAATCATCTAACTCCGGCTTTAGCTTGCGTCCGTGTTTAGATTCGGGTGCCATAACTGCGTGCATGCATCTTTTGTACATCTTTGGCTGACTTCCAACCCGGAACAAGCATTGATGGCCGCCTGGCCGAAATAGCAACGAAGCTCTGCTAGATTTTGGTGAATTTCCACCAATATATGCCTTATTGCCGTTCTTGTTCAGCTGGTTTGATGGCTTCCTGTAGAATGTTGAGGTTTTATGGGGAATACACCCGGTCCACCAGCTCTTTATGATTCACTGCAGCGTTAGGCAATTTATTTGACTCTGATATACGAGAAAGTTCTAAACATGGTTGCAGTATGTAGCATTATAAGATTTCATTAATTAAAAAATTCAAACGATTTGATTGAGAGTTAGGTTGTATACATATTCGACATTTGAAGTATTATTTACTATTATTTTAGCAATGGGGGTATAAAAATTGAGTCTCAAAAAAGCAATGGTCTGTTGGCACCAAAATTCTTCTAATATGATGAAAGAATCTCACTAAAGATATCTTAGCTGAGTTAGTAATAAACTCAACTATATTTACTAAGTATATTCCTTTGTTTATTGTCCCGGTTGTTAATAATGCTGTTTCCGATAAAATTCTAGGCCATCGATTGTTGTTGAAATAAAATTGGTTAGGTAATTCTGCTGACTAAGTGAATCGAGTTATTAGAACAACATAATCTGAATAAGTTCGATATTACTTACTTACTGTAAGTGCGGCGTGCACCAGAAATAACTCTTTATTAGGGAGCTTAAAGTGCGGTAGTTTAAATGGGCATCGATATTTCAAACACTAAGAGAGTACCGAGTCGTCGTAAATAATACTAAAATTTCACCAATAACACTGAAACACTAAGTTGTCACCAAGTGGTCATTTATAATACCAAGGTAACATAAACAAAGTAGCGTATTTAGTTAGTTTGAAGTATAATTCTATGGGTTGGGTTACTCGTGGTGTGATGTTGTTTTGAATATAAATCTTTCTTTCTTTCTCGTTTCCATTATGGCTAAGAAAATAATAAATTATTTTTAAGCTATTACTAAGTATCTGCATTTTTACGCCGGCTCCCTTAGAAGGTATTATAATAAAAACAATTATAAAACAATTTAATTGATACTATGTCGGGCTAAATTAAATAACCTTGTGAATGTGCGCCTTTAAATGAATGTGAGTAATGCATTTTTTGTCACTACAAGTCACGCTTGCTTAGTGTAGGGACCGCTAGAATTAAGCATTTCATGATTTGTAAATGAAAATAAGCTAATTATTACTATTTTGAATTGTTTCTATTAATATATTACCTAGTATTTACAAGGTCCCTAGGGAACTACTTATTTGGATATCGATTCATATCACGGATATCATAATAATAACACATTGAATAGTATACAATGGTTGCTATGGTAACGTTGCAATTCGCTATACAAACTTCCACTTCCATTTTTCTTTATTAGCTGTTTTTCGGGATAAAATATAGCCTATGTTCATCGCATATGATGTCCAGTAGCTTCGGAGTTTTTTCGATGCAAACAAACAAACAAAAAATCAAAATGTTCCTCTTTATAATATTAGTATGTAATAGAGATGGCTATAAACTTTATATAGTCTGATGTAAGTAAATATAAATACATATTGAAACAATTAAACAACTATTAAACGGAAAAAAGGGACGTTTTTGACATTTCGGACCCCTGCACGGATAGCATGACAAACTCGAGAAACGCTTTGTCTACGCTCATTTGTCAGTTTCTCGGGTCGACAGTGAGATATTGTATGGGCGCACCCGAGAAAAGTGACATTTGAGTGTAGACAAAACGTTCTCGAGTTCGTCATGCTACGCGTGCTGACTAAATACAAACGCGATGAATCCGTCTATAATTTGTTTTATTTTTTTATTAAGAACCGAATTATAATAATAATTCTAGAATTAATATGAATCTTGTCGCGGTCCTTGCCAGCCAAAATATCTAATTAAAAATAAACTATATTTGTAAATACCACGACCTTGATTCAACGAGATATTCATACTACAGACATGACGGTGTGGCATGATGTGTACACTCAATGACAATATAACAAGAGTCATTACATTACAAATGAATGGTCTGTTACAGTACCTAACTGATAATGTGGTACGTAATAGATAATGTATACGTGTTATTGGTGGGATTAATCGGTGTGTTAATGAAAATTTCATTATCAACAAATATCTTATGTATTATATATTTCAGTATTATATGTTCTTGGTAACTAACTAGGAAAATGTAGGCGACGTGAACTACTTATATCTGTATATATCCGCGGTATTCATCACATTATTTTTTTTCAGTCGAATAAATTCTTACAATAATAGGAATAATGACTAATTTTTGTTTGTTTGTCCGTCAGGTAGAGTGTTAAAAAATATGAAATACGTTTTTTTTTCTTAATCATAAAATTACGTCGTTACATTGAGTTGAAATTTCGCATGACGTCACGTTAGGGTACGTTTTCTACTCAACTGTGACGTAGCGAGCCCCCACTCCTCAACTTTAATGACTGTTATCTAAGCTATTTCTTGTTAAATTGAAATAAAAAAAAATACGTATCTAATATTTTTCTATTATCTGACTGACGGACTAAATGGAATTGCATTTTTTTTACCCAGTCATCATCCCTATTACGCTAGCATTAAGTATTGCATGTAATGTAAAAAAAAAAATAAACACAGAAATCCACCTATCCGAAGAATAAAGGTGTATTTGTTTAAATAGTCACATTTAAGTATGGGAATCATTGTTCAGGGCCTACACGATAGCCAATAACTGGTATACACAACATTATAAGGTTGAATGAGGTATATATTTAATGATTGTAATTCAATATAAAAAAAACAACATTAGTTATTGATTCACTAAAATAATTAACACTAAAGTAACAGATAATTTTGTGCAATTGAAATATGAAATCTCTCTCATGAAAAGTAGAGATTACGCAGATATAACTTTATTCTTTGGACAGGTCGAAATTAATATTTTGTGGAAAGTAAACCGACAATTGAATGTTCTCCGTCCGCCGAGTACTTGTCCCGGTGGCGAGGTATTACAAACATGGGTGTAAATCGGTTGAGTCATTAAAGTGTCTCGGAAGGGCCTTGCAGTCGCGTCGCTCGTCGTCACGCCACCTCTATGCAATGCGCCGTTTCTATTAATGGTATTAATGGCAATCCGCAGTTTACACCTAAGCACCGACAGCAAACACGAATGCCTCCCGATAATGTTTGTTTACTTTTTAAAATGTTGATAACTGACTGACCCGATAAATGTTTAAGTACTTTCAATGTCCAAATTTCAAATGTCAATATTCATGGTCATTTTTATCGGAAGAATTGGATAATTTAAAAAATCACGTGTTAATCGTAAACGGAGAAAAACAAGTTTTCACATACATATATATGTATTAAATATGTTAATAAAAAATATTATATCTGAATCTCAAATATATTTAGCACTTCAATGTCCACAAAATCCTTGAGACTCTTTCAGGACAATGAGTTGTCTATGCTCTTATCGATTTAGGTGAATCGTGGTGCGCCTAATATATTCCTTGTTGGGTCATCGGAGAATACATATCACGAACATGAACAATTTTCCTTATATCTTATACGAATAAGGATTCGGATTCAATGTTCCGAAACCATCAGGTCCAAGGTGGATGGCGTAATCGTAAATAAGATAATGTCCCATTGAAAATCGTGTTGCGACTCTTTTATATCTTCGCACTGCATTTTCCCTCATGATTTTCTAGTGACTAATCGTGTTGAACACTAAATGTAGTTTATTACAAGTGATCACTTAATAATCGAGCCTTAAGTATGTGCGACTTCC